TGAGGCATCCTTGTATGTTTACATCCTGCAGTGGACATCTTCTTCTCCTAGCCATGCAGTACATCCCCATTAACATGACTATGACTATGGGGCTTGTCTCCCACCCAGGAGATGGAGGTAGACGAGCCCTATAGAAGTCGATGGTGATGGCTAGAAGTAGACATTCGCTTAAGGATGTAAACAAACAACCTATCACGTGCCTGGTAGAGGACCAACTTTGTTGAGGAGGCCTCCCTTGCGGCTCTTGCCTCACACCCCTGGTAGTGCAGACAGGAAACGAGCAGACAGAGAGTAGCACAGGTGCCGAGATGTTCAGGCCCAGTGCCTGGCAAACGTCCAGCAATAGGTTCCCTGGGAAGGTCGGCAGGACTGGAAGCCAGCTGAGGGATCAGCGTGGTCGGGAGCAGGACTGGAGAGAAGTCAATCAAGCCAGGAGTCAAAGCCAGACGGTCAGCACGGTACAAAGGGAGCAGGCAGAGTCCAGGAACATGCAGAAGTCAAGGCAGGCAGCAGTCAATCGTAGTCAAAGCAATCCGGGTCAAGGCAAAAGGTGATAAAGCTTAGCAGAAACACAGGAACAAAAGCTGAAAGACCATTCAGCACTGATCAATGGAACAGTCCAGTTTATACAGGGTCATCAATCAGAGGAAGACTTGTCACTTCCTGTGCGCCACGTTAGCATGTCTGTTGCATGCGCATGTTTTCCGATGGTACGGAAAGCTGGGACCCGCGTATGCACCGTAGCATGTGAACTACCGGCTATAGGCTTACACAACCAGGGCCAAGCCCGTTGGAACTTAGTCCTAGCTAGTTTAAAAGGGCTGGTTAAAACAGGAAGTGATGTTGGCAGGAAGTGAGATCACACACAGCCATGTGTTTGGGTAAAGGACGCACAGAGCTCCAGGATGAAAAGGAAGAGCGAGCAGCAGCCATGCCTGTGTTACTCCATCTTGATCTTCGCAGAAGCATGCATCAACTATAAGAACTGATTAATGGCTCTGATTTAAAACTAAAGGCTGTCATACACTTAGAATTTGTCCTCGTTCAGCCCCACTGTTAGTTTGGAAGGAGGAATTCCCCCCACTCCATAGTATTCTGACTAAGTGCTACAGAGATGGTGCTTGGCAGCAATACAGTTACATTGAAGGAAAAGGGGTAGTCCTAACCCCTGTGAAGGCTCCGAATACATTGATTGGAAGATGGGAGGTCAGATCTGTGTTGTTCTTGTTTAGGATGAATATTGGCCAGCCTGAAACAAGCTCCACTCCTTACTTCTTGGACCATTCAAACCATTTATTATCTGGGAAAGAACTATCTTTATATTTACAGTTTGGTAGCAAATCAACTGCCAGTTCCACTGTGAACTTTTTGATGGATATACACTTTGTACTGTACATGATCTCCTGCATCTGGTGGTATAAACCATCTCCTTTATGCTTATCAGCCTCTGCTCTTATCTACAGCATGCGGTTCAGTCATACATATACCCCATGGGGAATTACTGTATGTAATGCAGATCAGAAATATCAGCTTTGAAATATTAGATGTGTTTGG